GTCTCGAAAACATGAAAGAAAGTTTAGTTAAAATAGTATTGGGTAAAATATGGCAGTGCGTTGCTACCTAGGGAGTTGAGGTTGTATCGTCTCGACAAATGGCGATGCGGCTTCTAAGTCGCTTGGGAGATCTATCATGGCCTCACTGACATGGAACTCTTACGACAACACCACTCATCTGAGTTGCGGAGCACACCATGAACAATTACCAAATACTAGCCGAGAGGGGAAAAAGAAAACATTTCGTGATCACAAGAGCCGCCAAAGACGCTTCGCCGATACCGAAATCTTTGCTCAGAGAAATCAAGCGGCGATAGCACAAGCTACAGCCGACTGGATGCGAAATAGGTACACGCAATTTCGCCAGCACATGCAGGAGAGAAGAAAAAAAAGGAAATCTAGAGTTACAGTTGGTCTCCCGAAAAGAGGCCCCGTGAATGGCGATGCAGCCAATGGCTCAAGGCTCAACGAGCAGAATCCTACAGGCCCACGAGGCTGGTGCGGCTCTCCAAACTACATGTAGCCAGTCAAGACGAGCCAGGCAAGCAGGCGGCAAAGTTGTACTGTATGCGTTGGCGTGCCGTAGATGTCACTCTTGTACGAGCTTTGAGATTGTTTTCCTTCTGGAGCCCTCCTTCAACGAGCAAATCACTTGGACGCGCGGTTTGCTGCATGATGATCCAATATGTTTGCTTCTCCCTCTCTCACTCTCCCATGTTCAGCTTCCCCTCCCGCCCCCTGCAAGGCGTCAAACAAGCCAGACGAGGGCGAATGGGATTTCTGGCCTCGGAACGGGCCCCCTCAAACGATGCTTGCCGGGTCCTTGTTGAGGTGGCCAAGCCACATGCGCTCTTCTATGCCGCTCATGGTGGTACCAGTCGAGGTTATAGTGGAAACTTGAAGGCTGAACAATGTTTGCCCAGGCGCAGCGTCGGGCGTGCGACGCCCTGGACGTTGAGAAGATCACGACTCTCTGCAAGCCTCCCATCTTTGAAAACCCCATAAAGAACCTCTGTCAACTTACCTGAAACTCCTCATATTGATATAAAACAACCATAGCATCTAGTACTTGGCAACTGCTCCGAAACACGCGTTGTGTCGACGTCGACCTTACCATGTGTGAAGTCAAGCTCTCCATCTGCGTCCACTGCGGCAAAATCTTTGCGGCAAAGATGAAGTACTGCGGCCCGGTCAAAGACAAGCTGCTGGTAACGGACAGCACGCCATTCGAAATCAACTCGTCGTTCAATTGGTCCCCGATGGAGGGGTGCGGCGGCCTGCGAATCCATCCCAGGGCAAACCTCGACGCCTGCAGAAATGACATCTCGAGGCCCGAACTGCCCTTTGACCGACCAACGGCGGCGAGGCCAAGCTCCAGAAGCCCTTACCCGACGCCAATGGCGCTCCAGCGGACGGACATGCGAGAGCAGCTTCCTCCGCTCGTGGGCATGGAACAGCACCAGGGGGTGTCCATGATGCCGCTGGGTTCAGATGTGCAGCTTCAGCTGCAAATGCAGATCCAGATGCAGACGGAGACGCCGACTGGAGACACACCAACGGTTGGGTCGCCATCGTCTTCGTGGTCGGGGTCGACTGTATCATACTATTGACCTCGTATCATGGCCTCGGCCCTTGACCGGGACTCCTCTGGCTCCGTCTTCTATACCGTACGTATATCCGCCGGACATATACCCACTCTACGGCAGAAAGACGACAAACCCAAGGATGAAGAGCAGAAGTGGAGATGGCATTTCCTGAAGGAAGTTATATCGATCAAAGCAGCATAGTCATATTTCCTCAAACTTCCAAAAGTTTCTTCACGGGTTGGTGTGGCAGGATAAGCAATGCTACCGGAGAGAGGATGGGGGCATGACACGGTTAGTGAAGGGATACCGAAGGGATTGAATCCTAGAGGAATCGGTTTCTTTGGCTAGCTGAGGTGTACTCTGGAGGAGTGTGTTTGCTGGGAGCCTCGCGGGGGATGGCAGTGTCGTCGGACCAGCCGGCTTTAAGACCATCACACAAGTTTTTCTGGGTCAGAGATTTGCTGTTCATGGCCCTCATCACACAATGCTGCTGGTTTTGGGCTGTTGGTTGGTCATAATCTTTGCTTTAGCCAGAATCGAAGGGGTGTGCTTTCAGCCCGGCAGACTGTGTGTGCCTCCGTACTTCGGCAAGGAAGCGCTGGCTTCAGAGTGGCGCCGCCGTTGAAGAATCAAAACGGCAAATAACCCGCGCGCGAAAGCTACGGTTCTCTTTTCTTGTAGAGGCTGGGGCGTCATATGCTATATCCATGCAGGTAGTATAAGATGCCCACAATGAAACCCCGTTATCCAGACAGGAGAGCACACACTCCTTCTTCATTCTCTTCGGGCCGTGTAAATACCCCGAGAGTGTGGAGGGAATGAATTCTGTACATCTGAACCCGGGAGCACACCCGAGTCCATTTATAGTCCCTTATCCAGCGTTGGTGAATATGAAATAGAGAGGCCTTGGCTTGAGGGGAGTTTTCCACACCGGCCTCTCTCCCGTGGCAGCAACAAGCTCCCCGGCCAACAATTCCGAGCTGTAAACTGTCCATGTAGTCCTTTGCACAGCCTTCCAACTCCATGGTTTCCGGCTCCGCGGGCGGCATCTTATTCCGGGCCTATAAAGCATACAGAGAGCGGTCCGTGGATGGCCACCACGGGATACTACCATGTCGTTTCTGTCAGGCTCAAGTTATTAACACCTAAATCCGTAATCTTCGCCGATTGGTACTTACGAGTGTAGTTGCGTACATGTACTATGTACAGAGCACGATGTGTATAGGACTGGCCGTTCATAGAAGTAGATAGGCGCCGTCGAGATGCTCCGCACGAGCATGGTTTAGATGTCACCTACATGAAGGCATGCCGGATATACATGTAGGCAACGTACCCAGTTACAGGTCGTGTAGCCCAGAGCCCAGGTACAGGGGCAATGGGCGTGGCAAGCGTGGATGTGTCGGACATTTTAAATTGGGGACCTTGTGATTTCTTAAGGCCGATGAGTCGGCCGCTTCGGACGTTGGTTATGCCCAGCCTGGTTGAGTTTTTGTTGCGCGCTGGACGACGAATCGGCTGCTTCGTGATTGACATTCTAGTTGTTGTTGGCAGTTAGCTGCGAAGAATGAGGTGGAGGGTCGGCCAAGATCTTGAAGATCCTGGCGCAAGACCCCTGTGATCCCTTGGCTTATTTTTTCCACGCTGCTTTTTCTCGTCCGTTTACTTTTTTGGAATTTTAATATCCCGGGATTCGGGCGCTGTTGGTTAACCACGAAGGCGTCATTTCCGTTTCGTCGGCCGAGAGTGCGGACCATGTGGCTCTGATAGCCGCGACGGGGGCATTGACCTACATACTCCGTCTCCATGTATTCCATGTCCATCGACTGGGGGGCGACGGTGAACGGAGAGCGACTCACATAGGGACTGGGACGATGTGACAGAGACCGGGCTGGGACTATCTGCCGGATAGCTTTTTCGGCTGTACTGCAGGCTGCAGAGCCACGTACGAGTACTGACTGGAGGAGATGTGAAGGGGCAAATTGTGCGCAGACGGGCGATTGCACGAGCTGGATCGACTTGATCAATCTGAAAATGCGCAGCACAGTATCACGGAGTACGGAGTACGGAGTACGTGCATGCAATCTCCAACAATGCCGTCGTTGTTCGGCAGCGGCCGCCTGGGGCAAGCGGGCAGCCCTGTATTTGAGTTTGAGCCGCTAACCTGAGCTCAAGTCGATTACAGGGAGCGGCAGCGGCAAGGAATGCTGAGTTTCATGATCGGCTGACTGGGTACATACAGTCGTTTACCCATGGCTGTGTGCTTATTTGGTGGTGATGCCTGTAGGATTGGATATGTGGTGTTGCAATATTGAATTGATGACTTGCCCCCGTCATCAAATTCCTTTATTTTTTGGTGCGTAAGGCAAGGGCATCGGGCTGAATGAGCGAGATGCAAGTGCCAAGTACTGTATACCTGTAGTCGTACCTACACTCTACACGGAGCATGCGTGAATCGTATCGATTTGATTGAGCTGATGTGACTTCCAGGTTGATTTAATTGGAATTGATGGACAGACACTGTACTCGTACATGCATGGAGCATTACGTGACTCGTATCACTTGCCGTGGCCATGCCGCGAACCTTGCCCTCTGCATCAACAGCAACCATCCAACATCATATCGGTGCTTGTATTATACCAGTAATATCGGCGTTCCGGGTCGGTTTTTGCCCTGGTTGGCCCGATGGGCGAAGAGGTCAAGTGACGGCAGGCGAGACATGAGCGGGAGTACCTGTGATACGTGCTGCAACTTGGCATACGCACATGTACCTCAGCTACAGCAACACATGTGTCCAGATTACTAACGTGCAAGAGTATACAAGTATCGCGAAACGAGGCAAGACAAAAAGCAAAAAGCAAAAGGCAAAAAGAGGCCTCCCTCCCTCAATGCTCGTCTTGTCGGGCACAGCAATATGGATGTTGGATCGATGATTGATACCCCTCGGCATTAGTGAGTAGGGCTCCTGCAGGGCTGTTCGCTCGCATCAACATCCGTCAATCAAATCGATGCAGCAATGAATGCCTGGCATCTCCAGGCACAGGGCACTCGGCGGAACACACCAGACATTTGATGATGTAGGGCTACCATCGTGCAATCTATTGCTCCGGGCTGCTGAGACCATGCATGCTGCTCCCTACTGTACATGTACATGTGTCCACACCGGGCGCGGACATGGACCAGTTGACGTCTCCTCTCGAGTTCCCAAGCGTTGCCAGCCAACGACATACTTGTACTGGAACGCCACGGCGCGATGTCGACGCCTGATGAATGGGACCAGCGCTCCAACTAACAGCACGTCCAGTCCCCATACCGAGTTGAGGGCCGTTTAATCTTCGTGTTACTGCAGTAGCAGCATCGCCTACTGTACTCGTACCGGACTGCCTGCCTGCCAACCAACACCCAAACCGCTGCTCCATGGCACCACGGCTCAGCAGGGTGGGCTTCCGGCCAGTTGGGCTTGTGGGCCGCAGCAGCGCGACTGGGGGGGTCGATCGTGAGCCTCCAGGTCTCCAACACAGAGCAGCACAGCACAGCACAGCGCAGCACTTGAGCGCATGTGAACATGGATGAAGCTAGGCGCAGACCATTGCCGCAAAGTCGGCCCCGGCGTCCTTTTCGTGTGCGCCGGCAATGCGATGCGCCTGCGCGTGGTGGAGCCCGCTGTCTCGCCCGCTGCAGTCGCCGACTCGCCCGCTGCTTCAGTGCAACTCCAGCAGCCAATGGCGCTGAAAGCCGCCCGGCCCGCTGCCCGACCGGCGTTTGCATCGGCCGCTCTGGCCGCCGGCGATAAGGCCCAGACGGTCGTGGATCTCAATCTCTCATCTCATACCATGCCGGTCCCTTGTCTGATCTGGCGTTGCTGCCCATGGCGTGGTGCGGCCGATGGCTCGCAAAAATAGCCCTGTGCGCCTGGCAGAGTCGCGCAGCAGCTCTCACACTCTCCTTCACCTCGTACCGTACTCGTACACCACCCGTGCTCGTGCCCGTGTCGTGTCGTGTCGTCTTGGGCTGATCTTGTCTGCTTCTTGGATGGCCGCTCGGCACCGTCAAGCCTGCCAGTCTACCGAACTCGTCTACAGCAATATCGTCGATGGGCCTCCCCCCTGGCTAATAATAACTACCTGACCTGGCTCTCTGAGCCTTGGGATTTAACCGTCAATTCAAAGATCCAACGCCCGCCGGTCACCAGTTCCGCGTTGCCTCACCAGCCCTCGAGACACTCACTGAGACCGAGACTTGCAATTTCCCCAACTCCTGCCCGAACGACACCGCTCAAACTTCTTCAACAGCTGCAGCCATCCGGAGCGTCTCAAACAGCACAAACCACTGAGCCGTCCCGTTACCCAACATCGTGTCTCGCACTCCCGGTACAAGGTGTTGCAACGGGAAAACCCCGTGTACGATACACACGGCATCCCGACTAGCCAGCCAACAAAGTTGCATGTACGTTGGCTCTCCTTTCCTTGTCGACCCATCTATCTCAGCCTGGCGCCCAACGCCTTTTTGTCATGCCCTTACGTGTCCCCATCATATCATTTCCCTACATACATCGATCTGTATCAGTCTGTGATGCCAAGGCCCTGTTGATTGCTGCCGTCACATGGGTCCGGCTGCCCACCCTCCATGTAGGAGTAGACGACGAGCCTTTTAGCCATGAGAGCCTCCATCTCGAATCCCTTGCCACCTATATATCTTGCCTCCTCACCCGTTGCCTCTCCATCTGTCAGCCAAAGCCGGCATACACAGGGTACTTGATGCTGTTTTCCTGCTCTTACTGCATATTGCCGATTGGGAACGGATATACATCGTCTAGACCTTTGCAGTGGGGAATGAGCAATTATATCTCACACCTCACATATCACCATCACGGTTCCTCTGTCAAATATTGAACCATTCCTCTCCCACTGCTTTTCTTCTTCTGCTTCCTTCTTTTCCTCCACTGTACACCTCACCACATCACCTTTTTCTCCCATTCATCACCAAAAGTAGCGCAAATTGCATACACCACCGCAGTCCTTGTCTCACTGATGGGTATGGAAGTGTATACTGTATATGAGGCTCTAGCAAGTTCCGTCATCTAACTTGCTCGATAGACTCCAGGGGTTTATACCCAGTCTCTTCGCCCAGGGAAGCGACATCTAACAGGTCCGGCGAACACTCGGTCAAGTCAGACATGGATCCAGGGTCTTGCCATATGGCCTCGAGATTCTACGAGATTTTGAAAGAATCAGGGCTCCAGAGGCAGTTGGAGAACGGCTGGGGGCATCCTCCCCTGGATGATGCTACAACAGGTTCCGCATCAGCCCCCAGTGCTGTGTTGGACCGAGGCAGTGACTTCAGCCGACCACAGTCTCGACAAGGTCCCAAAACATTGTCCCCATCAGGTTCCCGCAAGCATCGAGAAGGAGGGAGCCACAAAAGTCGCAAGTCGAAAAAGTCTCGGAGTGGCCAGGTCAAGGAGGAACACGACGACGAAGAAGAAGAAGATGGCATGGAGACGATCCCGCCCGTCCAAGGATCGAACAAGCCCTATTCCCCAAGCAGTGATTCTCAAGCCACGGAGTCGAGCGAGGAGCGTGGAACGTCTGGTTACAAGTTGAATGGGCAAGGCTATGGAAGCCGCGAATACATGAGTGAGCTGGACTCGGAGCTGGACACTCTCAGGAAGCATCTCCTCCAACGTGCCAACGCTCCCAGAACATTCCCCTAGCTGATTATTTTTGCATCGGCACCTACTTATGACACGGAGCGCACACATTTGTATTCGGGAGAAAGAAAACCCGGCGTCTCATATGCATCGATTGGTCACGCACACGCATCTATCACGGCAAGCCTGTTGATTTTCCACATACAAAGTGATGCAGAGGCGCTACGGAGTTATGGATTTGGATTTGGACATTCTGCTTGAGGCGATAAAGAAGGAAACCGGGATTCTCGAACAATCGGCGGCGATATCGAGGCGGACTGAAGGCATACATACGGATTTATGCCAGGATCCTTGCATTCCCTTCTCCTTCCTCTTCTTTTTTTGTACTTTTGTATTTTCTCAAGTTACTAGCTTCATATAAAATCAAGCCAAACAAGAAAGATAAAAAGCTGACTTTGGTGACGGGCGAGCAAATCAGAGACGTCGGCCAAACGCATGATACTACTCAATGGGGTTGCCGGCCGGTAGCCACGCGCCAGATCGGCCGAAAGACACCACCCATCAGTCGGCCGCTCGCTGTTCCCGAGGCAAAAAAGAGGTGTGGCGTTACGACCCTCCCTGCAGACCAAGTTGAGAGTTTGGCAGACTTTATCGGCCGAATGCCTAAAGGCGGGCACGGAAGAGGAAACACGCATTGGATGTATATGTACTTTTTTTTTTTTTTTTGCTGCGAGTGCGGCGACGACGACCCAACGTGGAACTGATGTGAGCCAACAAGGGCCCGTACCTACTAGGTAAGTACTATACCTTGACATCCGTACTACTTGCAGGTATCGTATCGTATGGTACTATTACCTGTAGGTACTCGTCACTGAACTGGTTTAAATAAGGTACTAGTAGGTACTTGCCCGTCCTCTTTATTCCGTAACGCCGTTGCTGTCCAAACGATGAAAACAGAGGGTGGAGCCACGCTCAGGTTCGGACGCAGAGACGTAGATGGTGCGGGTGCGGTGCAGTGCATGCGCTGCGCAGGATCTCGGCAGCGGAGCAATCAGGTCATTGATTCATTGTCTTTGGCCGGGACATGCATAAGGTAATTCTGGTCTCGCTTGTATGCATGCAAGGTCTTGTTGGGGGAAAGTGGCGTTTTGTTTGACAAGATACTTCAAGGTAGGTACCTAGATGCTATGTACCTATAAGCAACAAATTGAAAGAAGTTTCATTTTTCTCTCTCTTCTTTTCTTCACCGACAAGCTTATTTTGTTTGTTTTAGCCACAAGTTCTTGTTGGTTGAAGCGTGAGAAAAGCAAATGAAGAAAAAAAAAAGAGGGGCGAGAAGAACAGAAACATTCCGACTAGGGGATCAAGAACATGGAAAGCTTGGAACTGCACTGCACCAAAGTAGGAAAGAAAAAAACAAAGGTTCAACTGCATTGGTTTTGATTTTGGACCTGGTATAGCTTATAGACTAATGTACGTCGCTCCAAGTCAACTCTTCTACATCCTCTGGGTGGTCTAGTTGGTTCATGGCGTTCGACTGTAATGGGTAACATCTCATCGAAAAGTCGGCGGTTCGATTCCGTCCCCGGAGAACAATTCTCCCCGGAGAAGAGTTACATTTTTTTTCCAACCTCTCTTTTTGCAACTCATTTGTCTCTTCGGTTCTTTTCCTCTCTCTCTTTTTTTATAACCTTCTCGGGTTTTCCATTTTTCATTGTTGCTCAACAGAAGCGTTGATAGGGGCGTAATCGGCCGCCGCTAGAGCGACTTCGTCTTCCGGCTCATATCGCAGCTGAGGTATCTTCGGAACCCTGTCAGTGTCGCTGACTAGGTGTGCTCTTCCACCGCGCAAGATGGGCCGGCGGCCTGGCCGTTGTCGCACAGGCACGCGCTGGCTGAAGCCGTTATAATCGGGGCATCTGCAGCCGCCTGACCACTCGTGACCGCAGATGTAGCAGAATTCAGCACCGCAAAGACAGCTATGGCATGGAAACTGGTGGTTAGCCCATAGGTTTTGGGAACAAAGGAAGAGGAAGAGGAAGAAGAAGAAGAAGAAGAAGAAGAAGAAGAAGAAGAAGAAGAAGAAGAAGAAGAAGAAGAAGAAGAAGAAGAAGAAGAAGAAGAAAGGGGTCCTCACCTCATGTGGTTACATCCGTCCCTCAAGGCTATCACGATGCCGCACTTGGGGCAGCCCACGAGCCCCTGGCTGTCCATCATATCCAACAACGCATCGTCATCCTCCTCCTCCTCTCGGCACGGCAAGCCCCGATGTGATCTACTGCCACAAGTAGCACACGTCGTCTTGTGACACGCCAGGCATGTTCCCACAGGCGTGGCATTGTCTTCATCCCGGGCGGCAGGCTGGATGACCCTCGGCGGGATGAAAGACGAGCAGCGTGGGTCATGGCAGTACAGCCGCTCCCCGGGTTCCACGTCGTACTCAGCCCGCAGTTGGCAGAACAGCCAAACCAGCGCTGGGCGCTTGGCCAGACGGATCGTGGCCTCGTCGAAGGGAATGCCGCAACAGCTTGGTGGGAAATCCAGTTCGGAGCGGAGGCCGATGCGGATGCTCTTTCGGTAGCAGTGGCCGCAGTAGCGACAGCCGCACGGGAGAGAAGCCTCGCTTTTGGAATAGCACGCGACGCAGCGGTCTTCCTCTTTGACTTCGCTTTCTTCGTGCTCTGGCTTTGGGGAGCCTTGCAGCGAAAGCCAGATTTCGCTCCCAGATAGGGGGATGGGGTGCTCCAAGTCTTGAACCCGCGGGCTTGGGGGTTTTTCCTCGGCGATTTCGTCGTAGGTCATGATGCGCGACGTGATGTACGCTTGTTCACCAACCGGCAGCATGGCTATCGCGAGTGAAACTGCGGTGGCTATTTCTCCCTGCGTCATGGATTCTCTGCTTTCGAGGGGCAACATACCCATACGCTCGACGATGCCGAGCAATACGGGATGAAGCTGCTCGATGGGTCGTGGGGACCCCGGCTCTTGGCCGAGGGGAGGGAGAAGCTGGCGATTGTTGTGATTCGACATTGGCTTTTATTTTTGGTTTTATTTTTTTATTTTAAAAAAAAAATCGTAGTATTTTCTGAAAAAAAGAAAAGGAGGGAAAAAATCGCTTGGTCTTGTTCGTTCTTTGGGTAGAAAAGTTGTAAGCTGACCTTTATCGCTTCTTTTGCAACGGAGCCAGATAGTTCAAGTTCCAAGACGGGGGGGCATATGCCGGGCTTTATACCTCAAGTCCAACTCTGAAGCTTGCTTACCTCAATATTCTATGAAGTGATTCCTACCTGCCATCAATTCATTGATAATCACTGATACTACATGCTGAGCAGGAAGCCATGAATGTCCACGTGGTGGCTTAATGGATACTTTGTTGTATCCCCCCTTCCTCTCTCTCCCTTTTTCTTTTAACTTTGTTTGCTAAACCTAGTAGGATTTTGTTAACTCGGTCGTTCGGTTAGATAAGTGGAAGTTGCCGTAGAAGTAGAGAAACATACATATCGTTGGTGAGTGAGTAAAGGATGAGAGAATGCTGAAGAATGATGCTTCCGTCGGGCTCATTGAGCCTGATGAAGGCTCTTATTGAGGGTTAAGATTGTGGTAATTGACATGGTACGGAAGAACAGACATCACACTTCTACAAGACGGAATAAAACGTCGGGCATTCATAAACGAAAAGGGGGAGGTATGGGGAAATTCGGGGAGCCATTCCGAATGAGAGTGAATAGAAGACATCTCCGAGGACGCGTAACATGACTGATGTGCCTTGACTGCTTACTGCTTCGCTCTCTCGTTTCACAAGTCAAACTGCAAGTTGGGAAAGAATATTTGTAATAAGACATGTGGAATTTTTTTTTTAATGATGCCACTCTGAGATAGGACCCTTCAAATCCGAGAGCGTGATAAAAAATGGTATACAGTCAAAGTGCATATTTCTTCAAAAGCCAGAATTGCTGCCCAGAAACGTAAACTAAGCCAAAAAAAAAAAGAATAATTGTCTTTACAGGACGGGTATTTCGCAGATAGAGTATGTAATATCCATAATCCAGTTCGTCTTTGCCCGCGGAAAACACGAGTAAAAATAACAAAAAAAATCAAAAGAGGAAAAACAAAACAAGAAAAGAGCACTCCTTGGTCCATAAATCACAGTTAAGCCATGACGTTGGCAAATAAGGGGGGGGGCCTCCTGGCGTCCACAACTCCCAAGATATCCACATGTTGAGCACAATCAGAGATGCTCCAAAATAAAAACCCAATGGTGCCCTTTGCCGATTGCCTCCAATATTCCAAATCCACCTCCCTAAATATAAAATAAACCAAAAAAAAAATAGTTTGATGCACCCGGAGTCATGTACCTTTGGAGATCCCCCATAGCCGTTAATAGAGGGGGTGGTAAGAGTAGTGATAAAAAACAATAAGTAACCAATAAGACCTAGACGCCGTAAAACTCCGTTGCGTCGAAAACTCCATCGCTGATATAATTCACATGTCACATGAAAAGGCTGAAAGAGTAATGAGAGCCTTCCCCTCTTACACAATTAGGAAAAGAGAAGGGAAGAGAAAACAGAGAAGTGCCCGAGATATGAACACGGCACGCGGCTCCATGTAGGAAAGAGAAGGATGGAAAAGTTGTGTGCGTCGTCTTTCAATAGCTAAAGTCAACATGTGCCATCGTCGGTACCGACTCCTTATTTTCGTTTGATGCCGTCGTGATTTCGTTGCCATCCCCGAGGTGGGCGTTGGGGGGCATGTGGATGGTGACTGAATTTGAGTCGCCCAGGGTAGTATCGGCGCTTGATTGCGAGGTCGTCGTTTGTAGTTCGTGATCTGGCGGGGGTTGGGCGCTGGGCGACCAGCCCTCGTCGAGGATCTGCTGGAAGCTCCAGCTGGGTTCGAAACTCTTACTATTCCAGGCATGATCCACTCGTTCGTACATCTCATCAATCTGCTCCAGGCTGATTTTACTCGTCTCGTACACCATAGCCCAGACGAAGAAGACAGCAAGGATACAAAAGGCCCCCCATATGAAAAAGATTTTGGTGCCAAAGCCGGCCGTGCCCGGGCCGCTGCCCACCAGGAATGGTGTGCTGTACCCGATGCCAAAATTGAGTACCCAGTTAGAAAACGTTGAAATGGACATGGACTTTGCGCGGACTTTGAGGGGGTAAATCTCCGACGTTACGACCCACGCCACGGGGCCCCAGGAGGCAGCGAAGAAGAAGATGTTGATGGAACAAAAGACAATTAGTATAGTGGTAGATGCCTCCTTGAGGCCTTCGCCAGCGGCAGCAGCAAATGAGGCCATGAGCAGCTGGCAGCAGGCCATGCCGATGGCGCCAACTATCAGTAACTTTCGTCGACCCCAGGACTCTATGACAAAGAGGCCGACAAAGGTGGACACGAAGTTGATGATTTGGATGATGAGTGACTTGGTGTAGGGGCTGTCGACGCCCGAACCGCCGAAGAACGTGGTGCTATAGTACATGATGAAGTTGATCCCGGTGAGCTGTTGAAGCATTTGGATGCCGCATCCGGTAAAGGTTCGGCGGCCTAGGTGAGGGGAGCCTACGAAGAGTTCCTTGTACGAGTCCGGGCCCAGTGTCAGCTCGTACTGGTGATTGGCGACGATTTCCTGAAGCTCATCGAGGAGGGCCGGATGAGTGATGTCGAGGCGTCGGAGGCGACTGAGCGAGAGGCCAGCGGCCTCTTTGTTGCCCTTTTTAACTAGGAATCGGGGAGTTTCAGGGAGGAGGATGAGACCGCCGGTTAGGATGAGGGCGGGGACGAGCTGGAGTCCAAGAGGGATTCGGTAGGCGGCTGGGGATTTGATTCTAGAAGTGATGATGTTTATGATAGAGGCAGAGAGAAGTCCTATGGTGATAGAGAGCTGATAGGCACAGACTAGAGTACCACGTATCCACTTGGGAGCCATTTCCGACTGATACAATGGAATGAGGACTGACACGGCACCAACACCGACGCCAGCCAAGCACCTGAGAAAATAAGGGTCAGTATCCGCGTGCACGTTTGGGGCCAAGTCACAGGCCAAGCATAGATCCGAGCGTATATGGGGCGGATGAAGTTTGAAGATGCGGGAGAGAAACCTACCTTCCGGCTAACAAGGCGGGAGATGCCTCAGCAGAGACTTGCAGGATGGCTCCAATACAGAAGATGGCTACAGAAAGGAGCATGCTTCGTCGACGTCCGAGAAAATCGCCAGCGGGAGCGGAGAGGAGGGCTCCGACAGCGGTGCCGACGCTCAGCATGGCGACGATGAGGGCCGAGTCTTTGGCGCAAATGTCGTCGTTTACGGTTCGATCGTTACACGTTCCAAACTTCTGTTTAAACTCATCCATGGCAAGAATACCGTTGATGGCCCTAGACGAAAGAAAAAGGCAGTTAGCGATGGGCGTTGAATGCCGACATGGCAACAAACAGCGAAGGGGATAGCCCGAATGCAACGACGACGAAGGAAGGTGTATGTTGAAGAGAAAAATCATGAGAGAACGAGTGCAATCCAGGACGTCTTCTTCCCAAGTCTCGACGGCTGCGAATTTCATTCCACATTCCCTCGCCGTGGTGCGAGAGGGCAGTATTCTGGAGCGAAAAAGAGACAGCATGCCCCGATGCAGCACTAACCGCACCAATCCATCCATGATACAACAGACATAAAAAAAGGAATCCCACGCCACGAAGTTGACGTTTTCGTTTCTCGCCGATAAATACAGTAACGGGGCGACAACAGATACGACAAGAGATCGGAATGGTTCGGTGCGAGGGGCGGGCGTGGGTCGCATTCACGGGCGACAACATGGTTGCTGCTGCTTACCCAGTATCGTAACCAAAGAGCAATCCACCAGAAGCGACGAAGAGGCCGATCATGATGGCCGGCGCCGACGAGCCAGCGACATTGTCGGGTTTGTGCCAGCCCATGGCGATGGCCATGGTGACGGTGTTTGAGCAGTCAATCCAGGGCTTCAGGCGTTGCGACGCCCTTTCGCGTCGAGGCGGACGGCGGGACGAGCGAGGGATTCGACGATGGCGGGTTCGCCGACAGCGCTTCGAGGCGGAGTTGACGAGCGAGAGGTTTTGGCAGAGGATCAGAAAACGGGATCTCGCAGCGGTCGTATGAGAGGGCGAGAGGCGAGCAAAAAGGCTGCGGCGAGGAATCGTCACGGGCGAGAGTGGGTAATATTTCTCTGCGTTTCAGTGGAAGATGGGGGGCGGCGGAGGACCAGAACAGAGCCCAGGCAAGGGTTTGGGGACGCTGGCGGGCCCTTGGGGCCGGACTGCGCTAAAAGCGTGACCACTGGCGGTGCTAACGACAGCCAGAGCAGGCACTAACAGCGACGGCAGAGGCACGGTACAGTGCTAGGGCAGGGACGACGGGCAAACGAGTTGAGCGCTGTCGCACAAGCAACTTGAAGTAAGCGGACAGGACCAGGCGGGTATTAGGACGAGTACGAGTACAGTAAAGGCAAAGCACGGGGCGAGGCAGGCGGCGCAATGCCTAGGCGACGAGGTTTGCAGGCATTTGATCTGATGAGCGTGAGCTGGCCCGGAGCTGGAGGCTTATACTTGTACAGCCAAGCGGGTTTCGACAGCCTCGAAGCCTTGGGGCCCTGAACCTTGAACCCGGCGTCTTGAATCTTGGCCCGTCCGCGTCGGCAGGGAGGCTTTCGAGCTGGAACTGGGTTTTGTGGGGCGCAACGTGATGCGATGCGCGCAAGCACCCAGCAGGCGATCCCAGATTCGGCGGCGTCCAACGAAGCTTGCGCAGAGGCAGAGGCAGAGGCAGAGGCAGAGGCAGAGGCAGAGGCAGCAGAGCGGCGGGAAGGGCATAAGGGAAGGGGAAGAAACGGTGCGGCGCGTGGGCGGAAAAAGTGAGATTCGGGGCGACTCAAAGTCAATGGAGGCGGGAGGGCTAGCAAGCGAACAGGAAGCGATCAGCACCAGCAGCATGGCGCTGACGCCCGCTGATTGGCCGCGCTGGCCTCGTGGTGCGCCCCACTCTGCAGCGGCCTGGGACCGTCCGGGGCAGGAGAGGAAGGCCCTGAAGGGAACTTTGAAGCCCTGAAGCAGCCCTGGAAGGAAGATGAAGCCCTGAAGCCTCGCGTGTTCCGGGCCGTCCATGTCCTGGGGCATGTAATACGCACGTAACATGGAGGCTTCTAGCCGTCTTCCATTCCTCTGCAAGGAATCGCAACGTGGGTTTGATCTCGCAAGCACGATACGACGGGCGAATGGATGTTGGGCGCCGTAGGACATTGACATTTGACGTTGGCATCAATCAATTACATTACATGTACGCTTCTCTCGTAGCTTCCAAGTTGGCCGCATGGCTTGCGCTATTGGTCATTGCCGAGCCTCGACTGAGAACATTGACCGCACAAGGCACACGCGCACACACACATACAGCAGGTATTGTAAAAGGTACTTGGTGCTCGACGCCGCCCGTACCTCATCGGGCCATCCAAAGGCGCAACACCGACACACAAAGGCCACCCACGCACGTCAGCCACGCAAGTACAAGTCCCGTACTCGGTACGCGTCCATTCGTGCGAGCATCCGGGCGCCGTCTATTCGCTGCTTGGGCTGGCTAATCACTTGCTCGGCTGGGGCTCGCCACCCTCCTTCAGCTTACACCATGCCTGGTTGGGGGATTCGCTCGCCGCCACAAAGGAATGGAGTCCACCTCCCCTGCCGGCGCCTTTTTACGAGAGAAATACAAGTAAGACCCGGAGAGAGGACTTGACGTTGAAGCACAGGAAGAATCACAAGGAGATGATGGAGAGATGAAGCGGCAACGAGGCTATCTTGTCACTAGCAAGGGCCAGTCGGCATTCGGGAGTCCGGACGCAAAGGCCGCGCCGCAAGAAGGGCTCACGACGTATTGCGGTACACGCAAGGCCGAGTGAGAGTGAGTCCGAGTCTTCGCACGAAGCAAAAGTTGCTCAAAGTGCGGCTCGTGGTTCTTGCGAGAGCTGCCTGCTCGTTCGTCCGAGTACGAGGCATGCCACCTCGAGGTTCAACAAAGCACGTACACGTACCAAGTAGGGAGGACGACGAGCCCAACGGCATGACGCTGCTGCTGCTGCTACATGGACTGTCGCATTTTCTTCTGCCTCTGCTGTGCCTGGCCCAAGGGAATCTGCCCGACTTTCGGGCCCTCAGCTTTCCGGCGATTAGGCTCCGTGGTCGTTGTCGACGACGCTTTTGGCCAGACTGTCCCCAACGCCGCACTGCCATGCCCGATCCTTGCTCCTGTAAGAGCCCAGAATGCCTCCGGAGTCTCATGGACAGCGACTGACACAGATGGGGGTGGAGCGGTGAATGCAATCCCAAGAGCCGTCGACCTTCGGTTAGCTGCCTGACGGGCTGCTTCGATATTGAACTGTCAGCTAGCTGCATCCGCCTGCTTGAGTGGCTTTCTCCTTGGTCCTTGTGGCCGCAACCTGCAGTCCTCGAGGGCAGCCCCCTCCTCCAAGCATCCGCCCGCACGCCTGACAAGCTGCTAGTTAGTATTAGCAACTTCGATTGCCTGGCTTTGGTGCGGCACAGTACGGCTGAGTGCTTTTCAACACGATGACTAGCAGCCGGGCTTTGCCTCGGTACGGACCACGGTACTCAAGCCCCATACGGCGGCCTGGCTGTGAACGCCGCCATGGCGAGAGGTATCTCCTTTGTAACCGATACGACGTGTTTGCATGGAGGCGTCAAGGTAGTGTAGGGCACACGTGCGAACACGGAAAGCCTTGGAACTGCTCTCGGCAACTTGCAGTCAAATGAGTCGAACGATGCACGCAGACGAGATTCATCATGCCAAGGCCGTCGAGACTGAGCTATTCCTAGGCATCTACCTATCATACTCACGACTTACATACACGGCCAGACAATAGTGCTATTTGTACCGTAGACACGGCAGATGCGGCAGATGCCAGAGTCATGACATGTTACGAGCAGCTGCGGCTATATGAAGTGGCATTCTCGCGCTACAGACCATGGCTTTTGGTGTTGGGCCGCGGTTTCAGCAAGAAACTCGTTCGCCCTGAGAGCCCCAAGCCACCAGGGAAAACCCTAAGTGCAAACAGGGCAGACGAAAGATTCTAGCAGAAGAATTGTTGCACCATCAAGATCCTCAAACGCCACGCCGCCTGAGGCTGCGATTGACGATTTTGCGGTGCGCATTGACTCAGACGTGGTAGCATCAGAAAAAAAAATTAAGCAACGGGACGCAGATTATGCGGAGAAAATCTGGGGAAGGGCAAAAATCTTCAAAAAGGGTCGGATTCGCTTGAAAATTGGCAGCGAGCTGCATGTCCAGTGCGTCGCACTGTGTACGACTCCGGAGCACTGGGAGCGAGATTGTACTCCTGACTAGCAGATACTTGCCACCGCAACTAGGTTGGGCCAGCTCTGGGCGCGGTCTGGGCGAGTCCGGGGTAAGAATCGGGCTAGACAGGCGGCGGCACAAGTAACTTCTCCGTACTCGTACTGGCGCCGGCAAGGGACGGGGTGCCCAGTACGGGGTCTCTCGGACACGGTGCAGGGAGCACTTGGCCGGCTGGTTGATTAAAATGCTAAGCATTCTTGGCTACTCGACCTTGTGCGGCCTGCGCCTGTCACTGCCAGCTTCGGACGGCTGAAGGAATCGAAATACCTGCAGCTGACTCAAGCTCCCTGTGCCGCGTGGTAGGGGAACACAAGCCGCAAATAGTCCAGGGACCAAGCGATATATGATTTAGTCATAGGTATTTGATATCATGATGCTTAGCCGGGAGCGGGATTGGTAGACTGACTGGTACTCCGTAGATGTAGACTTATATTCTCACTCGTCCGAGAACTTGTGTAAGTTCCACGGTAGGCGCCCCCGCCAGACACCGACAGAACGGGCAAAGACATTCACCATGACGACCTTGGCTTGGTATAAGATTTAAGAAAGAAGGCTCAAACCTGGCTTTGTTTAACCACTAACTTACTTGGGAGTATAGATATAACAGTTGAAGTATCCAACATGCACACTTCCGGTACGGCTTCCAACACGCCCAACCAGGTGCTGCATCGATGTACTCGCACTCTTCTTACACAGAGCAGAGTGGGCCGTCACCCGCTAGTACAAACTGACTGCGCTGTGCATTAGCCTTTGCGAGCACCTCAGACAAGGAAAAAAAAAATCAACCTTGTTTTTTTTTTTTCATCCAGCCGAATAAAAGGGCCTTTGATAGTGTGAGCTTTTTATCCTATTCATTCTGTCATGGATTTGGCTTGATAGAGCGGTTTGCGGCAGCTTCGGATGAGGATGATTCATCATGGATGGAATCCGGCGCCCAGCTATTGCTTTGTGCAACACAAGCCGACGCCAGCTGAGTCTTTATTTCGCTTGTTCGTGTCTCAAATTCACGCAGCCCGAGACCCTTTTGCTTTCTTGGTTGGTGGCACTTGATCTTTTTTCACATGCAGCAAAAGGAGGCTGTATGCAGGATGGACTACTGTACAGCCATCGATCCAACGCCGAGTTTGGTCCATTCGTTCGGGCATGGCCATCGTTGGGAAGGGCTCTCTCAGATGCCGAGGCTTCGGCAAGTTTGTCTGGTGGTTAATAGAACCATCACTTGATGGAATCTTTCTACCCTAGCACGGCACACCACCCGAGGAAAAAGGAAAGAAAAATCATTAGGTACTTTATAGTAGGTACGAGCACAATTCGCAAATTTGGTAGAGGTCACACTCTGGTCCCAAATCTCCGACGCCCAAACAAGAAAAGAAAAAAATACTCGGCATCGGAGATTCTTTCAACGCTGAAACTCAACAACAACATGCAAGCAGAAATTAGAACCCATTGTTGCCGCGCTGGAATGCAACGCTGCGGAGTAAATAAAACAGATGCTACAAGTTACATACATACAGCTCCTTCGTATCTTTGCCACCGGGTCGATACGATGCGCCTCCCCTTCGCACCCGATTTGACAGATTCACGCACTTGGACCTTTGACCCCGGATCGGCGTTGGAGCCCACCCCGCATGGGGAGATGGGATGGGCGTCTACGAGACTTTTTAGTTTCGCATCACCAGCAACCCTTCAGCTGCAGCCAGAACCCCTTGAGTCGCGCCCATCTACAGTAGCGTCACGGCTAAGCAGCACTCTTGCGTAATTTCCAAGAAGCGGCACGGCACAAGTGACGCTCAAGGGGGGGGGAGGACAGAGAGGATGGAGTGAGGGAGGGGGGGCTGGCATCCACAGAGACTTGTATCAAGTAGTACAAGCTTCAGGTTTTCTTTTTCCCAGTGAACCCATCACGGAGCATGCTAACTTGTGATGGCCCAGCCAGCCCTTTTCCCGTCCCCCCAGCCCCGGCAAAGAGAGCGAGGAAGAGAGAAAGGAAAAAAGCCCATCTGCTACTAACACATAGGTCCAAGGGGAAAGGGCCGGTTGCCCGCATCGACTAACACAAAACTAATACGCCCTCGTCTTCCGATCGCGGGAACTACCCATGAAGTCAAGGCCAAGATGAGGGAGCTGAGCAGAGCAGATGGCACAGAAGGGGGTCCTAAAATGATCCCTTTCGGCTCTTCTTTTTCTGTCTGTCTGTCTGTCTTTTTTTTGTTTCGGTTTGCCGGTGACGAACGAGCGGCCGTTATTGCCATGCAGCCATCACGGGCGTAGTGGTGGCGGCGTTTTTTGCCTCTTTTTTTTCCCGTTGTTTATGTAACTCTGTGTGTCGACAGATGACTCCCAAAAGTGAGAGATGAACTACAAAGGAGGGGCACATGAGAGGGCTCTCAAGAGATGAAAGAGAATAACAGGAAGGTGGCAGAAGATGCAATGAATACAAATAAATAAATCAATAAATACCGACAGTAAAAGTAAAATAAAGACAAATGCTTACCATACGACTCTAGCACACAATAAACCAAGTAAATAATCGTGCCATTGGGGGGGAAAAACAATAATCACCATGGTGGCTTGCCAGAATCCAGGCCCGTGTTCAACGCTCCCTCTCCGCCAGGGCCTGGAACGCCTCTTTCTTTCACGGGGCGCAAAGCAAGAAGAGAGAAAAGCAAAACCAGGGGGGAAAAGTGGCGTGTTTTGAATTCCAGTGCCTCTTTTCTTCCTTCTTCTTCCTTTTCGACCGCGGTGAACGAACAGGTGGTGATTGTGCCTGTCCTTTTTTTTTTCTCTTCCACTTTTGTCTCTGGTTTGTCACACCCTTTGGCGTCCATGTCTCATCGATGGTGTACATGCAAGACAAGGCCCCTTGCAATAGCTA